TATAGCTAAAGCTTCTTTTATTAGAAGTCTTTGTGGTTGTTTATCAGTCATTAATAAATGATAGTCTTTTAATGTTATTCGCTTTCCAGTTTCAAACATATGTATATAAAACGGTGATTTTTTGGCTACGGTTCGGGTCGGTGGAATTAATGGTAATGTAATTGATGGTTGAGGTTGCTCTAATGGTCGACGTAAAATATAGACATATTACATGAGTGGAAAGTACTCGTCGAGCTGCACCTAATGGTACATGTGGAGACACTTATAAAACATGTGGCGCCGCCTACAGCGGGTTTTACTTGGCGGTGGTTAATTTTGTCCGCTAAACGTGATTATAAGATCGAAAAAATCGTAAAAGCATATTTTTGTTAATCGGTGTTTCAGAAGCCCTTTCGGAAAGCCTTAGGGTTCTGTAAAATCTCTTTCTAGCTCTCCTATAAATATAATATAGAAGAGCCTAAATACTCTACATTCTGAAGTTTGGAACTCGTTCTGATGTATTTTGAGTGTGTTAGGCTCCACCTAACTTGTTCGAAACTTATGTGAATGTACAGATGGTTTATTCATAAACCAAAAAAACACACACGAAAAGAACCGAAATGCCATATTATACATACGTTCAAGCAGGAAGGAATGAAAGTAGGATGACGATAACATAAATATAGAAGAGGCGAAACGAAGGATGTGAATGTGAAACAGGTGAGGAGGTTTCTTTTACATCATAGTAGTCACGTTTTAGGTCGCGTGACCTAACACCTCCCCCTACAAAAAAAAGGAACGTCCGCGTTCATGAAAAGTTCAAAAGAAATGCAGTTCCATTTTGTGGGTATCAATGAGCTGCCATCAGTATGATTGTTGCTACGTTTGAGTGATGTTTGTTGATGTCAAAGATATCGTTCATAAATTTAAGTAAATAGACTCAATGATTATGTGGTCGTTGGCAGGAAAATGTGGCTGCAGTGTGCTGCTCTAAATGTACACCGGAATAATGCCAGCGTTTAACGTCCATAGCTCATTCGCAGAGAACTAAGTTAAATTATTCTCTCGTAGACAGGTTCCATTCTGCTGACATGAACCTGTTGCTGAATTATTGCTTGATCATCTTCCATCGAATATGTAAGAGGATGTTGCTGTTGTAAAACTTTAAATGGTCCTGAATACAATTCACCAAATTTTGGGCGTTTACCAAGTTGTTTAATGAACACCAGATCACCGGGTTTATAAGTCGGATCCGCTCTTTGTTGATCGTAGTGTTGCTTACACAATTGTTGTTGATGAATAATGTTATTTTTGACGTTTTTCTTGTAAGTCTTCGTTAGCTGATTGATTTGTGTCCAACAATCATTTGGCTTCGTTAGTGTAATAGTAGATGTTGGTAAATCAAAAGGCAAAATAGGTTCACATGCAAACATCAATTGAAATGGTGAATAGCCCGTTGTACTATGTAGTCCAGTATTATATGCAAATATGCGCGCTGGTAAATACTCATCCCAATTATAAAGATTGTCATCGTGTAATTTTGCTAACTGTGGATAAAATGTTGCATTAAACCGTTCTATCTGTCTATTCGTTTGTGGATGATATGTTGTTGCGAATGCATGTTTAAATCCCATTAATAATGCAATTTTTCCATCAATTCATTTTTGAAATGTGTAAGATGCATGGAAAGCAAACTTAAAGTGAAAGGAGGGGAACCGCTTTTCATTAATTTCGGCCCACTGCTTTTTCAACTTTATTATGATCACATATTGTAGAGAAAACGATTTTACACATTTTGAACTGTGTATCAACCATTATGACATTATTGAGACTTCTTAAAATAACTTTTCTGAGGAGGTACATAAAGCATATTGGTGTTTAACAAAAACGATTTTGCTCAAAATCTGATATAAAGTTACGGTAAAGCTTGATATAGCAAAATAGCTCTTGAAAAACTCTACGATATTCTGACTAAACAAACCCTACGTATCATTGGCTCAATCCTTTAGGGGTCAAATACGAGCCCAGAGAGACCTAAAAGTGAACACAGTTGATGTTTCAGCCAATTTACTCCCATAGATAAGAGAGGATGCAACTAGTCTTTAGTATAGAAAGATAGCTCTTGAAAAGCTCTGCAAAATCTGTTAATAGGAAACTTAACGAAGCCTGGCAGCAGGTTTCATGAGTTTAATACTAAACTTTTCCATGGGTCGTGGCAATGCCAAGGGAAATCTTGATCACTGTTCTCTATGAAACTAAAGAGGATATCTAATCATTCATGCATCATTCGATGCGCCTTGAAAAGCTCTACAACATTTGTTAATAGGAAACTAAACGAAGTTTGACAGCGGCTTTTGTGTATTAAATACTTCGCCACGTAATCTCACAGTAGATCTAAAAATTGTTCGCCACCTTTAGTTTTCATTTTTGTCGTCGGCCATAATAGCTAGAATAAATTTGGAAAAAGATTTGGACAGCTGAAAGAATTTCCGATCTTAGGTGACGTACACAGGCGTTCCATCAAAACTTCTGAAATAGGGATCTCCGGAAGACCAAAATCTCAGAAAACCGGGTCGCCGAGTTCAATTTGGAAATCCTTTGCAAATACATCTGTCATGTAGAGCAAACATTTCTGAAGAAAATGAGACGTCTCCCAGCTCTCTAAGACATTTATCCATGGAGCAACATTCAATTTATAGAAGGCCGTATGGGCGTATCTTCATGTTTTCCCGTTAGTTTTGCTGCTATGGGGCCTTGCATAAATTAATTAATTAAACGTCTTAGAGAGCTGGGAGACGTCTGTGTACGTCACCAAAAAAAAAAAGAAGAAACAAACCCTTAACTGTTATAGATTCGCTAACCCATACTAAATAGTACAAGAGGAAAAATGAGCGAAGAAGCGAGAAAAAGAAAAGAAATATTATAAATAAATAAGTATAGCATAAAAATGTAAGTCGTGTTGTGTGTTGGTGCTGCAGATGTGTAGGTCGAGTGAATCAGACAGAAGTAGAGAATCTTCCTGTATCAGCAATATAGTTTGCAACTAACTCGACAATAACTCTAACTGTTACTTTGTCAAACAGTACTCGTAACAGAAGTGATTGAAGATCCAGTTTAACATCTGGAATCCTGTTAGAAAAAATGCGTCATTAGGTTTTCTCTCTCCTTGTTGTAATTGGGACACTCAAAAAAGAAATGGTAAACAGTCTCTTTTATTAGACTATTACATTCACAAGATGGATCATGCACGAGGCCTTATCGAATAAATCACTATTCAGTTGAGAAAATCCGACTCTGAGGCGACAGTAGTGAATATCAATATCTCTTCGACTGATTAAAGGTAATTTTGAATTTGATTTTGGTGGTATCAACCGAATTTGATTTTGGTGGTATCAACCGATTTTTAAATTTATTTAAATTAAACGTCAGTTTTGTCTCAAGTGGAAGCTCATTGTACTCACGAGATGCTCGAAAGACGAACGAATCATAAACTATATTTA